CGGAGTACTTTTCCAGTGTTGAAGTGGAGAACATTTCCATGACCACGAGTACTTCATCGAAAGTATGAGCATATTCAATTTTCTTTCTTGTGAGTACGAGTTGAGTACTATAACACAGGTGCACACTGCATGCGTGCGCTTACACACTGCAATCAGGAGCGTACAAAGAGGCTCATCAGAGGAAGTTAAGATATCAGTAATGATTACGACGATATATTTTGATTAATGCTGCCTGATAAGGCTTCACCCTTGGCAATGGCACCAGCTAATCAAGAAGCTGACTGGTTGTGGTAACGAGAAGTTTTGACCTGCCTGGTTCGTCAGCAGTGGACATTGCCAGTGACATTAACCAACGCTTCATCAGTGTGGCCCAGGATACGCCACAACTCAACGTAAGCCATGCCCTGCCTACTTGCCAGCTGAATCGCCACCAATGTCAGTGTCGCCGCAAGATGTCTTCAAGAAGCTGAAGAGTATTAACATTTCAAAAGGTGGCGGCCCTGACTTTATTCCATCTCGTATTTGCCTTTGAGTTGTGTTTCCCCTCAGTGATATTTTTAATTACTCCCTAAGGGATGGCATCCTACCCGATATCTGGAAGTCTACATATATAACACCTCTCCCTAAGACCGATCGATCCTCCAAAGTTGGTAAACGTGCGACTAATTTGCTCTGACCTGTGTGTTTTCAAAAATGCTGAAAGGCTTTGTTGTTAACTGGGTGTTGGAAGATATAACAAAACTCTATCGACATTCATCATTTCGGCTCACTTTAAGAATTATCTACCACTCACTATTTGGTAAAACTGCCAGATGACTTATTTAGGGTAATTGATAAACCTCGGCATTCATCTATTCTGATCACTACCGACTTTTCAAAAGCCTTCGATCGTGTTACGTTGACACCGCTGGTGTCACTGTGCACATCTACAAGTGTTACAGACATGGCTGCGAATGATGATTACTTAATAAACCATCAACCATTAAACCAAGACAAAAAATAGATAAATTTCATTCGTAAAACTCATGAATATTTCAACGGGCCTGTCAGTCTGCATATCAAAATGTGAAGTGTATATGGCCATGGAGTGAAAATTTTTGAACAACATGTATGCTTTGTAAGACAGCAGGAAAAATGTGTTCCAGACAAAACCTTGCTATCACTTTGTAAACATGTTTACATGTACAAGCCAAACTTTGGATGCACCATTCATAAACATTCAATTAAAGAATCCGGGAAATGAGTTTTTCTCAGAATCACTTTTTGTGTATCTCTGTACTCTTCTTCCATGTATGAAGACTGTTTGACATTTTCTTTGAGTTTCGTGAATAGAACGGTGCTTTTTTTTCAAACATTCAAAATTGACCAAGCATTTCTGGACAAAACTCCATGTGATAATTATTGTTTGGGAATCGTATTTAGCTGTGTTTTGGTATGAGTTTGAGCTGGTAACCTTTGTTTTTTAAGCAAAGTATTTTCGCGCTTAAGCAGATGTTGTACTTAAGCAGCTCTGTGAAGTTGGCCCTAGCTGCTGAGTACCATCAAAACTACAAACGTGCTTAATATTAAGTATGTTTACATGGGACAGATAGCGTTTTTTTGGCAGAATAAGGACAGCATTGAAAACTTCCGAAATATTACAGCATGTAGTTACACTGTTCTGAGATCTGTTTCTACACAAAAGGTGAAAAGATATCACTGCCCATGACGCACACTTGCAGGTGCGCCCTCTTTTGGCAACTGAAAGGCATTCAACTGTCACTTACAAGCCTCATTGCGATCGAATGCAGTATATGTCGTGTGCTGATTGTAGTTTTATCGATTTCGACTTTCTTCGTTTATTTTATGTGAGAAACCCACTCACTGGAATCGTCACTTTAACATTTTATGCTGCGAAAATCTACTGTACCATGCTATAATCTGTCATACAATGTCATAATGTTGACGAGAACAGAATGTCTTAGGGTAACTGACGCACGATCGCTGCACACATTGTGATTCATCCAAGAAACTACCCCCACGATCAGCGGGCGTTGCTAGGAAGACGGTATAGTTATTTCTAAGGGAATGAGGGGGGGTCAAAGCACTCACCATCAGTGGATATGATCAATTCTGAGGCATTTTCATGGAGAATGGTAATTTTCACCCCGTTTCTTTCCTTCTGTTCCATTCCCATACCCAATCTCGAAAAAAATATATATTTTTCCATTTTTCCCTTGGGAAAAACGCCCCTCCATAGTGACGCCCCGTCCAGACACCCATGCCTGCCATGAAGCTTGTTAGGTGTATTACTAAATCTAGCAAAATCTCAAAGACAAGCTTTCCGCAATGTCACTGGATAGTACAGGTGAGTTCGACAGGTCAGAGTGAATTCAACTTCAACTTCAAGTCGTGTTACCCCCCCCCCACCTGGAGGACGCAAATTTCACTGCCTTTCTGCCACTTTTAAGCCTGTTTCAGTAACAAGACCGCTTCCATTCTGGTGGATTCATGGCAGATTAGATCAACTGCAAATCTAAGTGGGCCATGGGTGCAAGTTCTTTGATTTAAAAAAAAGGACAGGCGGGTGAAAAAGCGTACAAAAATAAAACTCAGGAACACATAAGGGTCCGAGGTGACAAGAACGTTATATGCTGCTTTGACTTTACTTCAGTTTAAAATTCCTGACTAAATGTACCCAAATCTGGTTTACTTGTACTTCAGAATAACACCCAATGTCGAAGTTTTGTTATACAAGTCACACAATTTTATACTAGCAAATCCAGCCCACACCCCCTCAAACACACACACACACACACGTAAATTGGGTTCATTTACACACCAACATTAAACCGATAATGACATTCCTCCGGTCATTATGAACTGCAAAGTACTGAATATGTCAAGAACAAAAGATTTCTAGTTGTATTTTATTTCTTGTCACGAATTGCAGGGAATGGAAGTTCAACGCAGACAGTATTGTCATAAACACCAGGCATGTTTACAAAGTTTTGTACTATATCATGTATTAGCAGCACCTCAATGAATTCACTACGTCAAGAAAACAATTATTATGACAATTTTCGTCATCGCCTACCGCCTCCTCCAGCTTCGAAAAACAAGTTTCGCCCTGACTCTCCCCCACTCTCCATCCAGTGCAGGGAGGTCAGTGGGCAAAGGATTTAATTCTGTGACCAAAACACGATTTCTTCAATTCTTTTGACAGATTGATTTTTTTACTCCTTCTAAATTGACGTTGGTTGCACTCAGACCATAGAGGAGAGCGAGGAAACTACGTGTGATTGAACATGTGGTTTTTTTTATCAGAGACACTTAATATTCATACGTGCGAACAAAGGCACGTTGAAACACACAGCGGGGAACCCCTCCACGCGTGACGTCAAGGTCGTGACTCATGCGCGGACGGATTTGTGTAATTGCTGATTCCTCAGGAAACCACGGAGGTGGCAAAAGGTGAAATTGTTGGAATTAGTGTTACAAACAACGTTTAAACAAGAATATTTAAAGACTAATTGCAATCGTATTAATGTTATTTTGCAATCAAAATGCGCTCTGCCGCTAGGATGTACCGTCGGAACTACTTTTGTGAAAGGTTATGAGTCAGGTGATGCGCCCGCCCTTTTTATGAATGGCGGTGCGTATTGCACCGTGATTGGTCGACGGTAAAGATTGCGGTTTTGTGGCATGCGGGAAGCGTGACCTATGGTCATTCATTCCTTTTCGTCATATCCCTAATTTGGATGTGCAGCTATAAAGCGATTAGATCTGGTGGGGTTCGCGCCAAAACATCAACAACAGAAAATTCTCTCCACGCACAGTGTATGCACGCTTACAAACACGAGTAGTGTACTGGGACTACCGGCACTATTGAAACCGTACCGTGCGTACCTGACACACAGGAGAGCGAACGAGGGTTATCTTGAAGATCGATTTAACCACCAATTCTGCGTTTTTTCACCCCGGAATCCTAAACCTATAGCCATGACGGTGTCTGTCCATGTTCGGCCGATCTCCACCAACAACCTGCGCGATGTCCTGGCCGGCGAACCCGGGGACACACGGCGAGTTCTGCTGGTGGACTCTCGTCCCTTCATTCAGTTCAACGATAACCACATCGGCGGGGCACACAACATCCACTGCCCGCGGCTGCTGCGGCGCCGCTCCAAGGGTGCGCTGGCCATGGACTACATCGTAACGTGTCCGGAGACGAGGGCCGAGTTACTGGCCGGGCTATTCTCGACCGTCGTAGTGTACGACGAAAGGACGAAAGAAATCGGAGACTCAACAGCGAGGGACAACAGCGATCTTGTCTTGGTGTTGGAGTCTCTCCTGCAAGCCCCCGTGTGCCATCTCACCACAGAAATTACATTTCTCCAAGGTAAGGAGCTTATGAATTTGTTCGTTGTTTATTGCATTATTTTAAAACATGGTTTCAATGAGCATGAAGGTTGCTTAACATCTCCAGTAATGAATGAAAAATTAAAATACACCACGGCTATGCGCCGATGAAAACAACATTAACCACGGTACTACTACTGTCAGTATGTTGTGAACAAAGAACCTACAAGTACAACTGAAAAAAAAATCATAACAATGAAATTATCTACACATTTGGACAGTTACAATTTAAGGCTGCCAAAAATGCACATGCTCAGTATGCTGTCTTCATGTTAAGTTTAATTCATGTTTCATAACATGGTTTTCAAATTTAACTTCAACCATAGTTACGCTTGGAATTTGTTTTGGTGCTCACGAAGTCAGAATTATTTTATTTCCAAAGAATAAATCTCTAATGCATCTTCAGGGCCCTTTTGTTTCTCGGTCTGCCCCTCTCAGGCTAGTGGAGTAAAAATGACCTTAGTAATTTATGTTTTAATTGTTTGTCAATTAACTGACGTTTGTGACATTAAATGGGCAACCAAAGAACGCGTCGATAGTATTGTGATTTAGTGGCTTGATTTAATAATAGACTGAATTTATTAGGATCACCAGTGTGATTTCCTGTAATTAAATGGCTTTCGCAAGGAAATATGGGAGACCATACAAGATATTAACAAGAACTTTACATGTGCTTGTTTTTATCAGTGTATATGCGAATTTCAACCGCACTGCCCATTCTGGCATGCGACGATTTGTCGATAGCTGAACCCAGACGCGATTTTACACACGCCCACCTCGTAAGTGGTTTAAACCATGCACGAAAACTGAGTCGGCAAATTCCACTACACAGACGGTAAATGCACTTCTTTCTGTAGACTGGTTACCAAAATGAAAGCTTGCTTCTTTTCCCTACTGTCCGCTGATGTTGCAAGTTTCATATTTGGCCATTGGTTTCTTGCTCTGTGGCCTGACTCGCATAAATTGACCCTTACAGAATGTTGCCTCCCACGGTCCCATAGATCTGTTCTAATAACAGGTTTTGGCTTTTCTCTGTTTAACTTCTTTTCAATCTGTGACGAAGAAGGAGAGGGCGCTTTAAACGCTCTTCAGTTTTTTTTAAGACTAGTATTAAGTTCGTTATTTCAAACGCTTTCGGGGGAGCATGTTCGCTAATTTAGCACAGCAATTCTTGCGGTGGATGGTTTCTGACGGAGTTGCACTCAACCACAATCTCGCCGCACTATTGGCCACACCCTGCTAACTTTTATCGTTTCTTTTCTGACGGCCCGAAGAGTAATTTTATATCGCGCCCTGGCAGTTGCCTGATGTAATAAGCTGGAGTCGTCTATTTGTTTAGGTTGTCTCGCGCAAGTTGGTGCGTGTCAGTTCAAATGACAATCTTGTCATTTTGGGGATGTGTTCTGAGACTGGTGAACAATAGCTGATAAACCCCATACATTCCAATACATGATACAGGCAGGCCCAGGCCAGATTTCTTGTTTACTCACGGGTTGTAACAATGACGTGCACGAATGTAAATATTTACCAAATCTTTGACTTTGGATCGCATTTAGCTTACTCAATGCACCCCGCCTGGCTATTTTGGGTTTCCCAAGTGCACAACGATAGCGTTATCGACAAAGCAAAGTCCGGTGAATTATCAATTATTGTAGCGGGCTGCGTTTTCATTTTACAACTGATTACGCCATCACCACCTGATATGATTTATTTGCATGATTCAGTAAATATCGGAAGCACTACTATTTGAAAAGCCTGCCTCTTGAACCCCTACGAAACCTGCTTAAACGTAGCAGTATATAGGTTGCTCGATTTCATGAGGCTGTGAAATGCTCATTCGATCAAGTGTGAAAGTCATTCACTGAATGACAACCCTGCGTGTGTTGTGGTTTGTGGTTGAAAGAAAAACAGAAGCGAGAACATTATGCCCACTGCACGAGTGCAGGTTTGCCTCTGGGGTTAGTGCAAGGGCTGGACTGGGTAATTCACCCACCTCCGTTTTTAATCTTGTTCATTGGCTAAATTTGTGGCTTTGTTAACCTGTTTACCCCCGAATTAAGGTACAATCTTAAAAACATATTCGAAATTCACTGCCCCGGGCACTGCTCTGGAAGGAGGCATTTCCGTCTTCATGACATTGTATTTGCATCTAGAATCAAAGGTGAAGTAATCACAATTAAAATACTCAACAAAATGATATGTAATCGAATTAGGTCAGGATATGACAAGAACCGGTTCCGACATGTCTGTTTTTGTTGATAATTTGAAGGGTGAATGTGACATTGCCATGCATGAGAAAAGTGTTTTGTTACCGGCAAAATAGTGAGGCCCATGCTTAATTTCGGCCTGACAAATTCACCCGTGGACTGATTAACTTTATAGGCCTATACATGTACTCATTTCAAGGGATATTTCTTATAATTTATAGCTGTTGAGCAATACGTTATGTCTCCTTATTTCCGAGAAATTCATTTATTCCTTTAATTAGGGGATTGTCTAGTACTCAAACAGCGCCCGTTTTGTCCAAACAGAGTTCCTCTGATTCTCTGAAAGAAATCGTTGAGGGGGACACTTTTGAAACAAGTTAGACAGTATTTGGCTACATTCACTCTTCGAACGACTTGAAAGACGGCTGCGGACCACGGTGTGTTTTGTCGGTTGTTGACGTACACCGTCTATAGCTTCAGCTCATAATTTCCCGACCCCGCTCCCTTTCTCTTGAAGTTCTCAGTTCCATCCAAAAGAAAAAAATAAAAAGACATTGTAGAAGAAGAAAATGGAAAGGTGATGCGCTCCTGAGGAAGTTGGAAAGAATGGCGGAGGTCTCGTCCGACGGAAATTAAAAACCACTACATTGATTGGTCTTTTATTAGATCGATACACCGGGGCGCACAGCTCGCGGAAGTCGCCTGCATTAGCGGGCCAGAGGTCCCTTCGCGCGCGCGCGCCATTGACAGCGGCCGTCGTTGTTGAGACTCGTTGTTCATGTATAGGGGCGGAGTGTCTCCTCGAAGAAAAACAATAAGTACTGGGAGAAACGCGAGATGCCATCTTTAGAAAAGCGTGCCCGGATAAATTGTTTCGTCGAAAGAGGTTACAGCGAACGGGAGAAATTCGAGAGGGACGATCTTGTCTTTCGTTTTTAGGGATGTGTTTTATGAATGAAATGGGACCATGATGCAGATGCGCTATGTTTCGTCTGTTTTTTTTTTTTTTTTTTTTTTTAAGGTAGTAGCTTCATCCGGTTGTTCCAAAACAAATGAATTACATCCGTGTACTCTCGTTTTAATGGGAACTCAAGCTGCGAAGATTTGAGAACGGTTCACTCTTTTTCACAAAGACCTGCACACACAGGCAGCATGTCACATTCGCCGAACAGAGGTTCTGTATGTCATTTTCAGCCAAAAAATGACTCGTGGTTGTTGCTGTCGGCGTCACAACGAATTCATCCATGCTTCCTTCCATGAAAAAAAATGACATCGATTTACTCTCCATTCACAGCCGAAAACACTCAGCAGTCTGTCGAATACAACTCGACGGAGGGCATTTTTGCTTTATAATTTGTAGCTTGTTTGTTTGTATTTCTTTTGTGTGCTTGTAGGTCAGTTCCTCTTATTCCTTGTTATCTTCAGTCTCAGTCACATGTCAGTCTTTTTTTTTATTTTTTTTATTATTATTTATTTTTTACCATCCATTTCCTTCTCTGTGTCTATAATTGGCAACGAAAGCATTTATATTTCCGGCATTAATTCCCCGGAGGTTGTTTATGGATGATTACTTGCATGTTTGCTCGACGAAAATGATGTCGTTTCGTAACGCCGATATATATATAACTTTATATAGCTCATCATTCAACGCCATTGCGCTCGAAGAGCGAGCGTATATATACGTACTCGGGTGAAAATTACAGCCTCGCCATCTTCTATAACGACAGCGGCCACATTTTGTTCGTTTGCTAACATCCGCTGCTCTGGCGGTGCCTTCCGTTTTGCTTGATGTTTAATTGATCGCCTGACGTGTATTAATGGCCGGAAGCGCTGTCCACCTGATGTCCTTATAGCTGGTTTCGCGTGTCAAATGCTGTGTGAAGTGAAGAACGTCCACGGCCACCGAGAGAACGCGCACTTTGTTCAAGCACACTGTTTAGACTAGTTACTTTCTTAATGCGTATATTCAAAATTACAAAGTTGTTCAGGGTGGTGATTTGATTATACAGGAATGTCCGTTTGAATGTTTTCGTTCACTCCTTGATCAACTCAATTATAAACGTGTCCAACTCAGCATTGGGGTTGAGAATATATTGTTTGATGGCAAAAGCTGTACTCATTGCTTATTTCTCAGAGGATGAGTGATGTCACATCATTAATCACCGCCCCGTTGTCTTTTCTGTTTTGTTTGGTTTTTGTGTTTACCGAGGAAGTGTTTCAATTCCCGATGGACCTTGTGGAAAATTGCCGCACTGCAGTTCCTGTAACAATGGACCCATTGCACAATTGTCACGACATAAAGAAAATGACATCCTTGCTTTAATATTTATGACTTCTGTCAAACGGGTGGCGATTATACTGGTCTGTGCGATCTGACTTCTGGTTGGAATGGAATGGAGGAAGTGTTCGCTCTCTTCATCGTCAGGAGTATAAACAGGAAACTGGAAACTTCCGCCTGAAAGTGTGATGGATGGAAGGTCCAAAATGTGTCACAAGAGTGTAGTGAATGCCGGCCTTTGCATTCAATGATTAATTCCTAGCTTCGTAATACGATGTTTTCTGTTTATTTCGTCGCCTTATTTTTAGTGCTCGTGTATGCATTATGCATTGGATTGCCTTCCGGTTTACTTGCGTTCATGCCATGTTGGCAGTCAGCAAGGCACTGAGTAATGGTCGTGGAGGGTGCATTGTTGTAGTCCAAGTCTATTCAGCGAGGGACTCTTAAACGGTCTTTTGGTCTGGTCTTTTGTTTGCTGGATGACTGTGTTATGGT